CAGAAACATACACAGTAGAGCATTTTTAATCAACAAAACAAAAACTTCCTCAGCAGCACAATACATAATATAGGAAGCCTCACCTAATAGCTTCTCTTAATAGGGCTATAACCACTTTATATATAATAGAAATAAGTTGGTTTAATAAATTATGAATATTAAAAAACACACAAATATACTATTACGTTTGAACTTGTAAGATGGGAAAAATAACATTGTAAACTAAGGATGACAAATATTTTAAAAATATTTGATTGTTTTGTGTTGATGTTACAAATTAAACAGCATTTTAAAAAATTTTTGTTTTTCTTCTGCTTTAGCTACCCAGTCTCACCAGTGGTATTCTTGGGGCCCACCTAATATGCAGTGTAGATTATGTGCAATTTGTTGGCTTTATTGGAAAAAATATGGAGGCCTGAAAATGCCCACCCAGTCAGAAGAAGACAAGTTATCTCCCAGCCCAACTACAGAGGTACAGTAGTCTTTTGAGTGTTGAAAAATGCCATGTTTTTAAATGGCTTGAATATTCCTTGGAAACAGAAGTACAGTATAGGATAATTGAAAAATGAAGAAAGCTACCTTTATAGCCAGACACAGCACTACAATATTCAGGGTGGGTGTGGAGAGAAGCAGGGAGAAGTTAAATTTTGTCAGGTATTCAGAATATTGGTCTCAGACAAAAGAATGAGTATGTTAGCGTAAGCAGAAAGCTTAGAAATTAAATGTTTAATTGCTTTTGAAAACAGTTTGTAAGCTTTACATACTGTTGAAGACTAGTCTTTCTACATAAAGTCATAAATGCAAATTGAGCATTTTTCTTCCTGTGACTATTTTGGAGGGACAAGAAGTATGGATTTAATCTTGAGGTGAACAACAGTTTCAATGTGATTTTGGTAAAATCCTCATGGATTGAAGATGCCAAGCACCTGTGTTTACCAGTGGGCAACTACCCTTTTTCAGTGCTGTTGGGCTCTCAGGACTTCTTAATAAAAATAAAAAATAAAAAAAGTATAGTTAACCCCCTTGGAAGTTTCTTACTATTTATTGTGAATGTGATTTTGGATTCCTGTACAACAGTACAGTATTCCCCACAGTTTCCTTCTCTGCTTCCCACCTCTTTCCCAAAAGTGCACACTTTAATTCTCTCTTTTAGAGGTAGTGCACCAAGTGACATTACAGATGCTTCAAACAAGATTTAAAAGATACTTTTCTCTGAGTGTGATGCAAACGATAATGTGTTTGGGAAAGTTCATTTCTTTGAGTGTTTGTTGCTTTCTGATTTTGCAGGACCCTCGTGTTAGAAGTCATGTGTCCCGCCAGGCCATGCAGGGGATGCCAGTCCGAAACACTGGGAGTCCAAAGTCTGCAGTGAAGACCCGCCAAGCTTTCTTCCTTCATACTACATATTTCACAAAATTTGCTCGTCAGGTCTGCAAAAATACTCTCCGGCTGCGGCAGGCAGCGAGACGGCCATTTGTTGCTATTAATTATGCTGCCATTAGGGCAGAATGTAAGATGCTTTTAAATTCTTAACCTTATATGTTGTGCTTCTGACCATTTTCTCTTTTCTTCTCTTTCCTTTTTTTTTTTTTTGTTTGTTTGTTTGCAATAAACATAAGTTCTTGTGTACAGCCTTTTATTTGGTTTATATTTTTTTAACATTGTTTTTGTCTGCTGCCATTTGTATCATGCCAACCTGGAAAAAAAAATCAAAATATTGAAACCTCTGTATTCTTTACCAGAGAGTAGTGCTCAGCAAAAGATTGGTGGGAGGTGATGATCCTATCCCATGGGGTTTTGTGATGGAATTGCCTACAGAGCTCTTATTGATGCACTTTTACCTCTTAGGTAGTGCCACAATGTCACCCCTAAGGATGCTGTTATAATGAGATAGAACAGTCCAGTCTTATATGGATTCATTAGGTTTAAATAAAATTTGCCAATTTACACTAATTAGAGATTGTATGTCTTTGTAAACCTCTCATTTTTCCCATCAACCTTTAACAGTTGTCATACAACATGGAAATTCACCAGTGCTTCATAACAAATTATATATTTATTAGAAGGTCTAGCAAATTATAAGTAAATTTTAAACTCATTTTTAGGTGAATTTTCTGAAAGTATACATTTCCTTTTCATAAGCTAGCATCTAAACTTACAGTTGAGCAGTCTGTCCAGTTTGTTTTCCATTTCATGATCATGTATCGTATCTATCACCACATAATATTAACATGACTTACTTACTACTCTTATTTTCAACACATTTGGTCTTGCTTATCTTTTTTTTTTTTTCTTTTTACTTTTGTTAGCACAGAGATCATATGTATCAATGAATGGTGGATTGTTTTGATATTACATGTCTCTGACAGTATACTGTAATTAATATGTTAGCTTCGGAGTCACATTCCAGGCTAGCATGTTAGAGCCGTGTAGCTTTTGTTCCCTAAGGGATGAGAAAACCTGCTATCTGGCTTAAGAGATAGGAAATCTTGAAGCCATTCTAAGAAATCTCTTATTATGAGAGGCTTCTCTTTAATTTAAGGAGGATATCAATAAAAGGAATGATGACCGAAAAAAACACTTTTGTACCTAAAGATAATTTTTAGCAGAATAGTTGAAAGGCTTTACAACTTAAGTAATAGCTCTATAAGAAGAAAAATGCTTTGTAAAGGGAGTTGAAATTGGTAACAATGTCAGAGTCCCACAGAGGGGAAATTACTATATTAGATTGATGTATATTTGAGAGTTTTTGGCTTCTATTTAGGTTTTGTGCAAACATTTGAGACTCCATGGACTTATGTTACCACTTTCCCATTTTGGGACTTGGACATATTTGTATTATTCCAAATTGTTCAACTCATTTATAAAACACATTTTTATACAATTTTTTAAATTAAAAAAATGGTGAAGGCCTGGTGTGGTGGCTCATGCCTATAATCCCAGCACTTTCGGAAGCTGCAATGCACAGATCATCTGAGGTTAGTCAGGAGTTCGAGACCAGCCTGACCAACATGGTGAAACCGTGTCTCTACTAAAAATACAAAAATCAGCCATTAGTGGTGACAAATACCTGTAATCCCATCTGCTTGGGAGGCTGAGGCAGGAGAATCTCTTGAACCTGGGAGACAGGTTGCAGTGAGCTGAGATCGCGCTACTGCACTCTAGCCTGGGCGACAGAGACTGTCTTAAAAAAAAAAAAAAGTGAAACATTTAAGAATGAAAATGAATGTAACTTTTCCATTAATATTGGTGGGGATCCAGTATCATCTTAGTTCCTAGGATTGGAAGAGAAACCATCACCAACTCAATTGGCTGCTGAGGAAACTCTGTTTCCCCAGGGCTCATCTGTTAATTTTCAGTTAGTTTGCACATTGTGTTTGTTTTGATTATTCTTCAATGAAGTGTATTTTTCTTTCATCTCATTCTAATTTTTTTCTCAATTGAAGGGGCTTACTGCTAAAAGGGATCATAATTAAGTTACCTGTATTTTATTTCTATAAGTATATAGATTATAATAATACAAGAGCGGTCATTTATCTGGATGAAATTCACAGAGCATATATTGTTTTGTTTTGTATTTAGCTTCACCAGTCGTTGAGTTTTACATAATGAGATTCTTAAATAATTTTACCTTAAGATTTAAAATGACAATGTTTTGCAGCCATCTACTCAGTTATTTTTTTTTTTCACATAAGCAATTAATGAACTTTTCCTAACATCTAATTGATTATTCTGTCATCTCTTCTGTTCTTATACTTACAACCTCTTCAGCAGATGCCTTGATCTTGACCTGTGAGGGAGATTGGGTATTAGCAACCTGATGTCCATAGGCAACCATGTCTGTGGTCTACTTGTGCTCCTGGGAGTGTATTGATGTGTGTGGAGGGGGTGGAGTTTCCAGTAAGTTTTCCTTACTTTCTCAAAGGCAGTGTTAGGCCCTCCTCCACCCTGCAAAAAGTTAAGAATCACTGTGATGCAGTACTTTCAGATAAGGCAGAAGTTGACTATTCTCAAAATATTGATGGATCTAGAGTTCTAATGAATGCATTTTAGAATGATGTATCATTATCTTGGGAGAGGAAAGTAGTTTTTCCCTATGAGCTTGAAACTTCCAAGCACTGTAGAAGTTGACCCCTTTTATTGCCTCTGGCCATGCCAGCACCATCACAACCAGTGTCATAGTCAGTTTATGGGAGGACACAGCATAAAAGTGAAGAAATGGGAGCTAAAGAGATAAACTTTCAATTAGATAAGGGAGAGGATAATCTTGAGTTCTTTATTTATAGGGTAATGCCTGCTTGGAGAACTGTTTTTTTGTTTTTTTTTTTTTTGGCTACAGCTATACTCTGCTTTTTCTCTTTTCTTTTCTTTTTAACCTGTATTAAAGCATATAGTAAAACAAACATATTCTTTGAGATATTTTACAGATGCATAAAATATCTCAAAGAATATGTAAAGAGTAATGACTTTACAAAAAATATGTAAAGAGGGAAGGGAAACTGGGATGCTGAGGGCAAGGGGTGGGAAGATTTACTACTCTTCATCCATATGTAGGATTTTTTTTTTTTTTTTTAAGAGACAGGGTCTTGCTCTGTTGCCCAGGCTGTGGAGTACAGTGGCACCATCATAGCTCAGTGTAGTCTTGGACTCTGGGGCCCAAGTGATCCTCTTGCCTTCTAATTAGGTGGGACTACATGTGTGACCCACCACACCTGGTTAATTTATTTTTTTAAGAGATGGGGCCTCACTATGAAAAACTGATTTTTTAAACCAGTTTCTCAAATATCTAAATATTAATAATAATTCTTTATATGTGAATATATAAATCCATGCCAAAAGTTACTAACATTAGTAAAATGCCTGAGTCAGTTCTACCATGTAGATAGTGCTTATTAAAAATGAATTGGTAGACCAAAATCTTTCATTGCATAAAGAAAAGTACTGTGTTCTTAAGATTTGTGGCCCAACAGCAAGGTTGCAAAATACCAAGTTTGAACATCATGCTCACTTCAGCAGCACATATACTAAAAATTGGAACGATATAGAAAAGAATGTCATGGCTCCTAAGCAAGGATGACAACACAAATTAGTGAAGCGTTCCATATTTTATTAAAAAAAAATAGTTCAGCCATCTCTTCTCTTTTCCCCCTTGAGGTCCCCCCCCCCCCCCCAGTAAAAAAGCTATGTATGAGAGAGTGGCGTTCCTCTGTTAACTGGCATCAGACATTTCAGAGACTTCACCAAAGAGCTGCAGAATTATCCAAACACCTGATGTGCACAGGATTATCACCACTTGAGACTCAGGTTCCTCACAGACTGAGGTTAAATAGAAGTAGGTGTATTAGCAACATTCTAGAGATGAAACCAAAGTGCCTGGAAAAGTAAATCCAGATGATTTACCTGGCACCTTGGTAGCTTGCAAAGTCAGTGAAGTGGTTTGGGCTGATAACACACTAGACTTGAATGGGCCACAATATTCCCCAGTATGAGGTTATTTGGGAGGAGCCTGGACCTGTTTTTCTGTTTGAAGATGGTAGTTCAACTTTGGAAGTATCTCAAGATGCCATTTCATGAGAAATTTGTTTTATGAGATTTTTCTAGAGATTTCTCAGCAAAAGTTAGTGATTGTATAAGCTTTTCTGACATTTTAAGCTTGAAACGAGAGAATAGTTGGTTTGCGTCTTTTGGTATTTTTGGTAAAATTTTTTTAGTCTGTGCCTTGTGGTATAAGTCCAGGGAGCTTTTTTTTTTTTTAATAAAAATTTGGTTTTGAATGGATACTTTAAAATTTTTCTAAAGGTACAAAAGTGGTTAGAAATTCATCACATTTCTCATTCCTGATTTACCCCATTTGTTGATAACCACTATCATTGTTACCTTAAGTATCCAAAAGTATTCTGTGCATCTATAAGAATCTAAGTAGGTTTATTCTTTGTTTCTATATGATGTTAATATACTGTCTATATTGCTCTGTCCATTGCTTCTTTTTACTTAACATACCATGCCACTGCATTGAGAACTGCCTCCTTTGTGTGTCAGCTGCATATTTTGTTGTGCTATAACTTAACCAGTTCCCTGTTAAAGCTTTTAAGTTATTTTCAGTCATTTTCTATCATAAATAATGTTGCAACAAATATCGTTATACGGATATAATTTCATACTGATATACAAAATGAGAATGTGCTTTACAAGATAGAACCCTGAAAGTAAAAGTTGGGGCCAAGAAGCATACATTTTGAATTTTGGTAGTTTTATTGCCCTTAGAAAAACTGCGATTCACACTCCCACTCACAACGTCTAGACAATGCCTATTTCTCTAGAACTTTTCCTGGTAGTGTTACCCATCTTTGAAACCCTTGACTAGTTGACACATGACATGTTATATTAGCTTGCATTTCTCATTTTGAATGAGATGGAAATCTTTGCATATATTTGAAAACCACTTATCTCCTTTTCTGTCAACTGCTTTTGCCCCTGGCCTGTTTTCTATTGGAAGTCTTACTGACTTGTGGGAACTTTTTATATTTTAACAAAGTTAGCTCTTAATCTGTGATATGTGATACCAATAGTTCCCCCGTTTCACCTTTGACTTGTTTATGATGTATTTCCCAAGCAGCGTTTTTTAAAAAGACATATTAATAGTTGAATTTGTAAAAAAAATTCATGATACCTGGGTTTTGTGTCTTGTTTAAAAATGCCTTTACAGTTCTAGAGGCAAACTCTGATAGTTTTATCTCGACAGGGGTGTTGAATGCACATGTGGGCTGTTTTTGTGAATTCTGTGTGTTTTGCAGGGTTTCTCTCACTGCCCCCAATATTTACAAAACATTGCAGAAAACAACCATGAGTTTCAATAAAAGTCATAGTGTATTTCTAGGTTAACCCTAGAAAGGAAATACAGATCATCATCTAGGACAGTGGTCCCCAACCTTTTTGGTACCAGGGACCGGTTTCATGGAAGACAGTTTTTACACGGACTGGGTGGTAGGGTCAGGGATGGTTTTGGGATGAAACTGTTCCATCTCAGATTATCAGGCATTAGTTAGGTTCTCATAAGGAGCAGGCAACGTAGATCCCTCGCATGGCAGTTTACAATAGGGTTTGCATGCCTATGAGAATCTAATGCTGCCACTGATCTGACAGGAGGCGGAGCTCAGGTGGTAATGCTCACCTGCTGTGCAGCCCAGTTCCTAACTTGCTTCCACTAGTACGAGTCCAAGGCTTGGGGTTTGGGGACCCCTGCTATAGGAAACTGAAAACATGCTCCTTGTGTCCAGTCACTTGAGTGAGATAACAGATGTTCTCTCTGGACAGGTTTTGATTCCTTCTGGGCTCTTTGGGCATTTTTCAGATTGCTTTCATTATCTGTGCACTTCAAATGCCTATCTCCATGCTGAAGTGGAATTAAGTGAGTCATTTGGGAGCAAGGACTGACTGACAAGTTGGCACCATTGTTGGCCTGGCATTGAGTGCAGCCTAGGATTCCTTCTAACTAACTCAAGTGTGGGCCAGATAATCCTGCTTATATCTATTTCTTCAGGGCCGTCTGTATTTTTCCTACTGAATGGCTACAACTTTTCTTAGGTTAAAGACTGACTAAGGTAGTCCTAGAATCTTTTCTAATTTTTTCACAGTTGAGACATAATTCTTGCCACCAACTACTTTTTTTTTTTTTTTGAGACAGGGTTTCGCTCTGTCACCCAGCCTGGAGTGCAGTGGCATGATCATGCTGGAACTTTTTATAAAATATAATGAGGATCAGTGAAATATGCATCCCAAAAAGCTTTGATCTCCCACTCAAGGTACTCTGTAATGCAAATTGTCACTTGGAACATCACATAATTAATTCTACTATTTTTGATCAGATATTAGAAGCAAATAATGTAGTTTAAAATGGAACATCTTTGGGTATTGTGTTGATGATCTCTTTGATGGATTTGTTGATAATAGCCATCAATGTCTATCAACTGGTGCCATATTGGCAGTTTTCCTTTGAGTCTTACAGACTGGAATAAAAAGCAAATCTTATTACTAGTAATACGGTGACTACCTTTGTCAAGACATTGAGAAGTAACCAAGATGATTCATTCCAGCTTTATTTTATTAATAGAGAAGAAAGAAAAATGCATCTTGTCCTTATCCCAAATATAACTTGAATTTCAGGTGAATCCGTAATATTAGCAAGAAATTATGTAGTGTTAACTCAGTGGTTTGGCAAGCGTTTGATCCTTACAGGGTTTGGGTTGCTTCCTAGTGTTTATTTAGATTACTCTTCCAAAACATATTTATTACATTTCTGCCTGTATCTTCACTATTATTCAACAACAGGTGAAAAGCTTCATAGCTTTGTAATTTATTTTTTCATGAGAATCATCTGAATAGGAAGAAAAGAAATTGGATCATTTATACTTGTCAGTGGTTGCATAATAATTAGCCAATATTTAGGGGCTATATATTCAGATTCCTGATTGTTTTAGGCTCTCTGCAGTATGTGCTTTGTCTATTTTAATGTTTTTCAACTTATTTTTTAACTTTTAATTTCAGGGGAGCATGTGCAGGTTTGTTATATAGGTAAACTTGTGTCATAGGGGTTTGTTGTACAGATTATTTCATCATCCAATGATTAAGCCCAGTACCCATTACGGTAGTTATTCTTCCTGATCCTCTTCCTCCTCTCACCTTCCACCCTCCAGTAGGCCCCAGTGTCTGCTGCTCCCCTCTGCGTGTCCATGAGTTCTCATCATTTAGCTCTGAGTTATAAGTGAGAACATGCAGTGTTTGGTTTTCTGTTGCTGTATTAGTTTGCTAAGGATAATGGCCTCCAGCTCCATCCATGTTCCTGCAAGGGACATGATCTCATTCTTTTTTTTCTGGCTGCATAGTATTCTGTGGTGTATATATGTACCACATTTTCCTTATCCAGTCTATCATTGATGGAAATTTAGGTTGATTCCATGTCTTTACTGTTGTGAATAGTGTTTCCCTGAACATATACATGCATGTGTCTTTACAATAGAATGATTTATATTCCTTTGGGTATATACCCAGTAATGGGATTGCTGAGTCAAATGGTGGTTCTGTTTTCAGCTGTTTGAGGAATCACCACACTGTTTCCCACAGTGGTTGAACTAATTTACACTCCCATCAACTGTGTACAAGCATTTCTTTTTCTCCATAACCTCTATTTCCTCTGCCAGCATCTGTAATTTTTTACTTTTTAATGATGGCCATTCTGACTAGTGTGAGACAGTATCTCATTGTGCTTTTTTTAAACACAAAGAGAATTCTTTTAAAATGCTCTTTTGCCACCTTCTGTTTAATAATTTTCAGAAAAGAGTCCATAAAACTTAATTTTTATTTAAAATTATTTGAAGTTCCAGACTGAATTGGGCATTTTAACTCTAGTAAAGCAAATAATTCCTATGGATAGCAAAGGAAATTTCCTATATGTATGCCTAGAAATGTCTCAGTTTACAAAAGGGAAAATTTTTTAGTAGATCAGAAAACCTGTGGGACATTTTTGTCAAATATTTGAATGTGGGGGAAAAGGAATAAACATAGTAGAATCATACAAGCTAAAGTGATTCTGTTAATATTTATGACAATATCTGTGAATTAAAATATTTCAATGTACATTTTGTTTTGTCCCTTTGTCTTGCACATCTACTCTTCTATCCAAATGACAGCTAATTAAAACACAGAACTTTTGTATTGTATGCTTTATTTTTCTTTGTCTGAAAATGTCTTACAATAGGTTACAATGTGCGTCATGAAAACTTTGATTGTTAATACCCAGCCTCACAGTTTCTTACTATTCTGACTGTTGGATGAAGTACTGTGTTTGCACACAGGAGCCTTTTAAATCTCAGCACCAATTATATCATAGTAAAGAGATCAGGGGTGTAAAACCGGTGATAAAACCAAATGGCCCATCATGACTCTTGCAAGTCCCTAATCTAACAATTGAGTTTCACCAAGATGGGTTAAGACTTCACAGTGGGGAAGGGATGGCCAAGTATGTTGCCTTTAGAAGCCGTCATTTGTCTTGCATGCCACATCAATCTTCTATTAGGACAGATTCCACCTTGCGCTCTATGGACATTATTCTA